CCTGTAATCCCAGCTACTCAGGAGGCTGGGGCAGGAGAGTCACTTGAGCCAGGGCGGCGCAGGTTGCAGTGAGCCGAGATTGCGCCACCTGCACTCCAGCCTGGGTGACAGTGAGACTCCGTCTTAAAACAACAACAAAAACAACAGAAGCTCACTGCCTAGCAGTCGGGAGGCCAGACACGGAGACCGAGGCTCGGGCAGGGCTGCTTCCTCCCCAGGGTCTTGAGGAGCATCTGCGTGGCTCTCGGGCTTGCAGATGTGCCACCCTGATTTCCACCCGCACCTTCACATGGCCCTCCCTATGTGTCTGTGTCCAAACTCACCTTTCTATGCTGACATCAATCATATTGGATCAGGGCACATCCTACTCACCACATTTTAACTTGGTAACTTCTACAAAGACCCTATTTCAGCTGGGTGCAGTGGCTCACACCTGTAATCCCAGCACTTTGGGAGGCTGAGGCAGGCAGATCTCCTGAGGTCAGGAGTTCGAGACCAACCTGACCAACATGGCGAAATCCTGTCTCTACTAAAAATATAAGAAAAAAAAGAAGCTAGGCGTGGTGATGTGCACCTCTCATCCCAGCTACTCCAGAGTCTGAGGAAGGAGAATTGCTTGAACCCAGGAGGCAGAAGTTGCAGTGAGCCGAGATTGCACCACTGCACTCCAGCCTGGGCAACAGAGTGAGACTCTGCCTCAAAAAAATTTTTAAAAGACCCTGTTTCCACATAAGGTCACATTCTTTATTTATTTATTTTTCCAAGACGGTGTCTTACTCTGGTGCCCAGGCTGGAGTGCGGTGGCACTATCTCTGCTCACTGCAACTCTGTCTCCCAGGTTCAAACAATTCTCCTGTCTCAGCCTTCCAAGTAGCTGGGATTACAGGTGCCTGCCACTATGCCAGGCTAATTTTTGTACTTTTAGTAGAGACGGGTTTCACCATGTTAGTCAGGCCGGTCTCGAACTCCTGACCTCAGGTGATCCACTCCCGCCCTCGATCTCCCAAAGTGCTGGGATTATAGGCATAAGTCACCGTGCCCGGCCCACATAAAGTCACATTCTGAGGCACTAGGGGTTAGGACTCCAGCCTAAGAATTTAAATGTAAGGGGACACAAGCCAGGCCATCTACCTAATCTCAGGCCCTCCCTGCAGTGGGCACGCATGGAGTCACCTTTTCCATCCTTCTCCCTGGACACAACTGCAGTCTCCCATAGACGGCGGTGGCCGTGACACGGAGCCATGCCACACAGTGGGGCAGCCAGCACTCACTTGCCCTTCACAGAGAAACCGACCAGGCGTGGTGGTTCGTGCCTGTAGCTTCAGCACTTTGGGAGGCCAAGGCAGGTGGGTCTCTTGAGCCCAAGACGTAGAGACCAGCCTGGGCAACATGGCAGGACCCTGTTTCTAGTAAATAAATGAATTGATTAAACCAAAAAATAAAGAAGCCACTGGGCTGATTCCCAGGTGGGCAAGGGCACAGGGGAGTGTAGGACGGCCACCGCCGCTCCACAGTCCACAGCCCACACCCACAGAACGCAGTGGGGCCGCTGCGGCGATGAACCGAGTCTTGTTTGGTTTGTTTCTTGAGACGGGCGTGAGGTGAATGGTCTTCCTGTATCTTGGCGTTTTCTTTTTCCTTCCGAGCCACCGGTTCACAGCCTCTGTCCGCGCCATCGTTTCTCCTGTGGGTTTGTGAGGGTGCGTCTGTCAGTGTTGAAGACACGGGACGCCCTGGCAGCAGAGCTGGGCTGGGGGCCTGGGGCTCCTCTGTGGTTGGCCATGTGCCTGCCAGGGATGTGGGAAACCAGCAAACGGAGCTATAACCACAGTATCGAGAAAGCCAAAATATTAGGTCTTGGAATCGAGGTGGAGGCAGGATGGAGGGAAACTGAGGCACAGGACACCAAAGGATAGGGGAGCCACGTGGCATTTCCAAGGCTCCGTGTGTCCAGGAGCCCTGACTGACGTGGTATCCAGAGAAGTGTCAGGCTGGGCTGGCTGGGGCAGCACTGGAGTGCGGTCCGCCGGGGACGGGCGTGGGGCCTATACCAAGGCCCTGGGGAGAAGGTGAGCAGGCGAGCAGTGCCACCTCAGCTGCCCCGTCCGGGCTCGTGAGACACCACACCGCCTCGGGGAGGTGTGGCCAGGCCAATCTTGTGGGCACTCCGGGTCTCTGGGTGGAGTCTCCCCTCGGTGTACCTCTCTGGGGCTGCCCCCCAAAGCATCAGGGCCCAGGTGGGATGGAGGCGCAGTTGGTGACCCCAAAGGGCCAGACTGAACTGTGGGTTCCAATCACACCAGGAAGCTCAGAGCAGGCTCACACCTGTGGACCAGCACCGTCCCCTGGCCGCTTTCTCCCAGCCACGCAGGCTGTGGCTTCTACCCCCCTCCTGTTGCTTCTTTTTAAAGGTTAAGGGGTGGGGGTAAGAAACCTGTACTGAGAGCCAGTGGGAGGGATGGGAGGTGGGGTGGAGACCTGCACTGCCGGCCAAACACCAAAGCCAGGCTGGCCTCCCCGCCCTGTTGCGGGCAGGTCTGGAATTTGAGCCCCGCCCTGAGTGGGGAGGGCCCTGCCTGACTGCTCGGTAGCTGGGAAGGGGCGGCTCCCCCAGGTGGGCCTACCACCCTTGCAATGCTCCGGTGCTGCAGATGGGGAACTGAAGCTAGGCTGGGCACCATTTCTCCTGCTCACCCACACCCACTGGTTTTCTGGGCTGGGAGCCCTGACAAGGGATATTTGCCGAAGGCAGAGCCATAGGGCAGGTTCTGAGCTAGGTTCACGGTGGAGGTGGTCCCGACCCAGAGCCACCCCCTCCCCAGGTGACACTCCCTGCACCCTTCTGGCCTGTAGGTTCTCCCTGTGCCCCGCCCCCGGTCTCCACCCACCACGCTGGCTGCCAGCACACTCCGCACTGGGTGGGTGGATCTCTGTGTGCACCAGACTCAAGTCCAAGGCAGTCCCCCACACCATTCCCCCACCCTGAGGTCACACCCTGAGGCTCAGATACCCCAGGGCCAGGCTGGTGTTGCTCAGGCAGCCAGCTCTGCGCGCTGGGCAGCTTCATCTGCCCGCCTAGGTGGCTCCACGGGGCGGGCCCCTTGGCCAGGGAGGGCGGGGCGCACAGGGAGACTTAAAGAGCGACCCAGGTCCCCACCCGGGCCTGACCGCGCAGCTCCCACCATGGCGGAGACCAAGCTCCAGCTGTTTGTCAAGGTGCAGGGCAGACTGAGGGGCAGGGAGGGTGTCTGGGAGGGGTGCTCTTCTGGCTTTGCTTTCTGGGGCAGGTTGTGGGGTGGGCCTCCCCAGTAATGTGTGAGCCCCTTCCTGTGGGTGGCTAAGGGGACTCGGGCAGCCCTACATAGGCTGAGTAAAGTGGGACCCAGAAAGTCACCCAGAGAGGGGTCCAGTGGCCCTGGTCCTGCTCCCAGCCTTGGCTCCTGGGCCCAGCCCAGTCTTCCGGAGGAGAGCCCCTTGGTGGGGAGGTACCAACCCGGCTGCCAGTGGTGGAGCTTAAGGTCAGTGTTCCAGGATTGGGGGTGCTGGGCCAGGCAGCCCCATCGGCTTTCAGGTCGGGGACTGGCATGTGGGGGCTGGTGTGCTGCTGGCCACAGCGCCCAGTCTCGTGTGTGAATCACTCAGAAAACAGCTTGTGGGGCCTACCCCACCCCTGCAACCAGCTTTTGGGGACTGAGCCCAGGGGCCTGGCCTGTCCAGGCTCTGATAAGATTCCAGCAGCCAAGCCCGCTCCAGGTTTCAAGGCTCCCAGCAGCTCTGCGTCCCTCCCCATGTCCTGGGGACCAAGTCAAGGGCCCTTACTGGGCACTTGGAAGTCGCGTCGACCAAGCTGGAGCTCTGGCGTCCCTCCAGTCCCGCTGGCAGTGGGAGGCGGGTCCCGCCCAGCCTGGTGGCAGGATGCCTGGGTCTGCTCCCAGCCCTGACCTCCCCCCCACCACCGCCCGCCACTCCACCCACCCAGGCGAGTGAGGATGGGGAGAGTGTGGGTCACTGCCCCTCCTGCCAGCGGCTCTTCATGGTCCTGCTCCTCAAGGGTGTACCCTTCACCCTTACCACGGTGGACACGCGCAGGTGAGGCGCCACCCTGGGGACCCCTGCCTGGCCTCACACACTGGTGAGCCGGCCTCCTCCCACCCTGCTGCTGCCCACAGGTCCCCGGACGTGCTGAAGGACTTCGCCCCCGGCTCGCAGCTGCCCATCCTGCTTTATGACAGCGATGCCAAGACAGACACGCTGCAGATCGAGGACTTTCTGGAGGAGACGCTGGGGCCGCCCGAGTGAGAGCCTGAGCAGGACGGGAGGGGAAGAGGGGGCGCCCAGGGAGGACGTGCACAGGACAGAGCCCAGGAAGGCGCTGTGGGGTACTGTGGGGCCGGGACGGGGCTGCCCCCATTCTGATGGAGTCTCTCACCCCCTCATCCCACAGCTTCCCCAGCCTGGCGCCTCGTTACAGGGAGTCCAACACCGCTGGCAACGACGTTTTCCACAAGTTCTCCGCGTTCATCAAGAACCCGGTGCCCGCGCAGGACGAAGGTGAAGCGGGGTCAGGGGGTTGGATGCCCAGGCGGGAGGGCGTCCTGGGCCAGGTCCTCACCTCG